CAATACCACCTGCTAAACCATTACGTCACATCGAACAAAGACAAAGGGACGTAACCATCAGGTAAATAAATTTCCTCGATTCGCATAAAAATTATCAACTCTTTTGTAAATCATTGTACAAGGAAACAGGAAATAGTTAATTTAAGTCAACAAACTTGATTGTTCAATTGACTTCCCGTCATTTTTTTCTTTTTATTTTTTGCAAAAAAATACCTATTGTACATATAATCTCTTTTTATGTAATCACATAATCACATTCGAACTAAATCAGACTAAAATTGATCTCATGCTCTATATATTTTCTAATAATAGGAACAGCCGAGTACCATCAGCAGACTCGATACCTCAACAAGTGGATGCATCTTTGCGACATAGTGCCTCAGCTACGACACTTTCTTGTCATGCTGGTCAACAAATGACGAGGCAAACGTTACAAGCTCTTAGTGCTGCTCCTCGACCACGAATCGTTCAAGGTGATCAATGGGTTCAACGAAGAAAGAGCGATGTGCCTAGAGGCGCGCATGATTTCAATTATCAACATTGGCTCATTCAGGTAAATTAGAAAAAACCTGTCTTATATCTATAAGAATATCTTGTTTTAAATATAGACATTTATTTTTAAATCACACGTACGTTTAGTTTTATCTATACTTGCATATTTATCAAATATGCATAAATTTTTAATAATTCATATATGTATATTGAATCAAAATAATTATTATAATTAATAATTATCATCATTTTGTAATAATTTTATTCTATTCATATTATTTTTATCATTGTTATCTTTTATTTCTTTAGGAAGCAGAACAACGAAGAATTCACGAGAAAAATCAACGATCCCCGGCACGAAAGTCTCAACCGCACGTGACCGGAACATCCGTACCTTATGCCGCTGCACCGACACGGTCGGATAGCAAGCCGTTACCAGACTCCATTATACAAACTCTTACTCAAAGAGTACAGAACAGAGCGCAAGAGAAGCCACTATCTCCAAGAAGAAGGTAAAAATATCTGTAATTTTTATCGATATATTTTGTGTTAAGTAAGTAACTTAACCCATTACGAATTCATAACGAATAAACTTAATATTTTTAGATTAGAACATAGTACGAGTCAAGAACACATTCCCCTTCAACATTCTAACACCACTCAACAATTAACATTACAACAAAAATCTCAGCAGCCATCACCATCTGTTCATAACACCGACAATCAAGAGAAAATGCTGAGCGTCAGTGGCAAAAAGAAATGTTCGCATTGTGGAGATGAGCTAGGTATTAATAAAAATTAAAGAATATAACTTAAAACAAAAAAAAAGAGAAAAATTATTTCTAAGGTAGATAAATTAACGAGTTCCGGTTTGTGTATGTTTGATAGGTCGAGGCGCCGCGATGATAATCGAGAGTCTACGCTTGTTCTATCACATGGAATGCTTCAAGTGCTGTGTCTGTCACGTACGACTCGGTGACGGATTAATGGGAACGGACGTACGCGTTCGAAACCACAAGCTCCACTGCCATAACTGCTACTCCAGTGACGACGGTACTCACACTTAAAACTCTACCTAGTATTATTCCATACAGTTTAAGATTAGGTAAATGTCGTAGTACAAGCGTTGGCGTACGAGAACGCCGAGAAATACTTGAGAAAGTCGGGCAGAGCATGCAGCGTCATGCAACCAAGACAACGATAATAATAAGAAGAAGAAAAAGAAGAAAAATTATATAGTAGTGCAATATAGTAATAATAATAATAATAATAGTAGTGGTTATAATAATAATAGTACCAAGGAGCTAATAAACGCGAAAGCGCATCGTTGTCTCGTGCGGCATGTCCTGCATGGCCCAGTTAACAATATTTCCTCTCATTCATTCACTTCATCCTTGCGTTCCATTTTCAGGTGTCAAGTTCAGCTGCGTGTAGAAGCGCACGGGCTAATGGATCTGTACCGACTAACTTGAATATAGCGTTCTTCCGGCTATATTTTATAAGTTGTAGTTGACCATTTAGTTAGCCAAGCTAACTCGAAACTTTCGCGACACGGTTCGTTCGTACGTGTACATAAATACGTACATATACATAAATACATACATATACATATACATAAATAGATATATATATACACATATATATATATCTTCTCTCTGAAATAAAATGGATTTGAAGATGGTTGGACGTCCGTTCTCATCTCGCTCGACCTAATAGATGTCGAACTGGAAGACAATTTTTTTTTTCTTTTTTTTTTTCCTTTTTTTAGGTAATTCATCGACTTCTTTCAAGCCACTAACAACACGCAATGGAAATTATTATACGCAAGGAAAAAGAAAATGTTTTTATGTAAATAGATTGTATTTATGTAAGTAGCATAGCGGTTAAGGAGTTAATTGAAGGAAGATTGTTGCATACGCGATATCACATCGAACATCGAATAAAAAAATAAATGATAAGAAGATGAACGTTCATATGGAACCAGTAAAAAAAAAATCGTGACACTGTACATTTTTGTAATATATAACTTTTGCGTCTGGGTATTTATGAGATATCTCTGATAACACACTAGCTAAAGATGAATTCACTTCGTGATTGACGATTATTCATGAATGAAACTCTTATTAAATATTTAATACTAATAATTCCTAAAATCAAATTGAAAATGATTAACTTTCGTACAAGGAAATCTTTTTGTTTTAGATCTTAATTATGTTTATGGAATACGGCAAACAAAATTATAGAATAACATATAGATATACGTACTCAAATACGGTTGCTAATGAAGTCATGCTCGTTATGTTTTCTCATTTTGTTCATTTTTCTCTCATTTCTTCTCTTAATTTCTTTTTTCGAAAATAAACAAATTTGAATTCTTAGAAAACTCAACAGCAGCTTTAAGCGATCGTGTATAAAGTACACAGATTACCATTGTGAAATATTGTAAATGTCTCGTTTATTACAACGTGTAATTTTATATTATCGCAAAGAATAAATGTTTATTATAGAGAATTCCATCGCATCGATAGTTTTATAATTTTCACAGAATCTGTCTTTACAGGACATCGAATTTAAATGTATTATTGAATACCAACTGCATTTATATAAGTAGTAGTTGAATGATAATATATAATAAGACAATGTATAAAAGATTTTTTATAACGTATAATTTCCGTTAAAATTACTTTTGTCGTAAGAAATTCTCAACATATTTTTAACTCTCACGTTTATCTCTTGTCATTGTCCGTACAATCGATCATTTTCAAGGAATATCCTAAGTAAACCATTATTTTCGCGAAAACAAACGACGACCAGGAACGCTCGAGAAAAAACGGTGCAACGTGGTTATGAATCATGATGATTTATACCAACAATGAGTACAGGCGTAATTATAGAACGATTACGATGAACAAAGTGTCATTTTGAAGATAAAGATTAAATCGAGGATATAATCTTTTCGAACTTGTGAAAAAGCTTTTTCTTATTTGAAAAAAATCATGTCAAAAAATGGTGTTTTACAACAATAATTTATACATAAAAATAAACAAACTCTCAAACATTACACGGCTCCTAATACACATTAAATATAATATAATTAAATTTAATATTTCAATAAAATTATATTTTGAAATTGCAATCGTTGCTTTTGCTTAGTACAGAGATACCAATGGTAAAACAGAAATCTACCTTATAGACAATAGATAAAGCAGGATTATACTTTAACCGATGTCGATAAAAACAAGTCTATTCCTATCCAATATAGAATTAACAAAGGATCCAACATATCTAATACTTTTTAAGTACTCACAAATTTATAATATAATTTATATCATTTAAGAATTACAAATGACTTTATATGGCATATAGTTGAATTCGTTTCGACTAATACCGTTACATTGTGGAAAGAAAAATATATAGTTTCATTTACAAAAATGAATTTAACTTTGATACTACCCCGATCATTTGACTTATAAAAAAGAAAATTATCACTATATGATGTTATCCTTCATACCAAACAAATGTGTTAAAAAATTTTTTAATATTCTCAGTCCTTCGCAAATATTTCAATTTTTCAAGATAAACGAGACACCCTGTATGTAATAGAGTTAGTTAGATTTCGCCGCACCCTAGTTCGTTTTCTTCAGATAAACAGTTAACTCTAGACCGGTCTCGGAAGGCAAGCGTTACATAATTGTGAAGGAAAATCTGGCACGTCATCAACGATCGAATGACTGGCTACCTGGTGGAAGAACATTCCGTTCATTGTGTGCCAGAATGAAATTATTGGACCAATCGACCAGCAATTCTCTTATCGACTTGCTTGATCGAGCCTGCAAGCTCTTCCTTTTCTAATAATAATACATCTACTCGCTCCTTATCGGAAACTTCAAAAGATTTTTATTTTGAAGCTGGCTGTTTGCCCAAGAAACTTCGTAATTTGTATTCGTATTGTTTATATTTCTATTCGGTTGCCATTAGAAGCTGATAGAATGTTTTCTCTACGATAATTTATTGTTTAAATTATTAGGGTTTTGAGAAAATTCAAAAAATTAGTTAAATCCATCGATATAATACATTTCTTTACTTTCATGTAATTTAGTGTATTTCTATTGAGCAACTAACTATTTATATTTAGGTTATTAGATCGATAAGTATAATTCGATAAAACTTAAAAAAAAAAGAATATTTCTATTTCTTTTTAATCATTAATCATATCAAATTTTAGATAGCTACTTTTTCAACTAAATTATTGTAATCAAAATGTAAAAAAAAAGGCGTAAATCAATCTCGATATTCTATCACTGTATTATTCCCTTATTTTATTTTTATTTATAGTTAAGTTTTCTCTAATAAAAAGCATGTATCCGTACGGATGTACATATACGTATGTATATGGAAGACAATACCAGTCAAACGATGCGGAACACTAAACACAATATATACATTTATTTGTTTCGTTTTCAAACTCTTCTATCTATTCGAAAGCTAGTTTTTAATTCAGTGTATCTCGATCCGCCGACGACTGCGCACTGTTTGTCCCACGATTCGATCTACTTTACGAAAACTTCGAAACTAACACAGATCAAGCTTACACGTGCGTAAATAAATTATATCGATAAAGATATCTTTGATATTTATTATCCAGTGATAGACTTTTCCCAATTAAAATATTATTTTGTATTATATAATAATAATAATAATAATTATTATTATTATTATTATTATTATTAATATATTTTGGAGTGAAAAATTTTCGGTTTAAAAAAAAATTAAAATCATAACAATATATTTTTCTCTATGTGAATGAAACTCGAACGATCCTTTAATATTCTAACATTAGAAGAAATTAGTTGAAAAAATAAATATTTACCTTAAAATTTTTCGATATTAGATCGATAAATGTTATAATATTTCACACACGATACATCAATTTAACGTTAACAGTTGAAATCCTCGCATATATAACTTAACTCTTGATATTATCGAGACAATCATTGTGAATAAGCGTAGGTTCTTTAAGGGTTAAAAAACACATAAAGACGATTTCGTAGCGAGTTTTTTTATGCTCACGAAGCAAAGACTTATTTTTAATTTAGTTCGGCTCGGGTTGCGAAGAGGTTACTGCTGACACGGCAATGTTCGCCATCGTAAACGCCGTCATATCTACTATTATACGAGGAAATTCGAGAGAGAGAGAGAGAGAGAGAGAGAGAGAGAGAGAGAGAGAGAGAGAGAGCGAGAGAGAGAGAGAGAGAGAGAGAGAGAGAGGACAAAGAGAGAGTCAGTCGCGAGATAAACGCGCATCAGGTAGGACATCTAGGAGGTAGTTCCTAGCTTTTTCTCCTTTTATTTTTGAACTTTTTTTATTTCTCTCCCTCTCCCTCTCCCTCTCTCTCGCACTCTCTCTCTCTCTTTTTCTCTATCTGTTTCATTCTGTAATTAATTTTTTCGTGCATTTCTAATTCATACGTGTGTAAAAATCTTCGATACAAATTTCTTAAAATCGTATTAATTTAACAATGAAGAAGCTTGAATAACGTAAACAAGAATGTAAATAATACGACGTGTAACAATAACAAATTTCACTTCGGCTGTGTCTAAACAAAGGTGTAAACTTTCTATCGAAACGCATAATCCTGTGGTTCATAGAAAAATCGCCATTCATTTGATAATAGTAATAATAATTTAATCTTTGAAACTCCATTCGACTTTTTGGTGATCGTAAAACCACCGTTTTATTCGAATTATAACGATGGATATTAAAATGGATATTAAAATTCGTAGGATTGACATTAACCGGCACAAATTCAATAAACAAAATTAATACGAAAGAAGAAAATAAAAAAAAAAATAATAAGAAACATAAAAATACGTACACGTGTTAAATTTCATCAAAATCGTAAACAAGTTACAAAGAAAGAATTCGTTTATATCCTCGATAAATGATTAATTAATTATATATTTATTCAATGTCATAATGATTTGAAACATAAGTATAAAAAAAAAAAAGGAAGGAAGAAAGAAAAAAGAAGTGAAACTGTACATTGAGTATGTCGGAAAAGAAAAGAGAAAAAAAATAGAAAGAAAAAAAGAATTATTAGAAATATGTTCAATAGATTATATTTATTAAAAAGTAAATATCGAGATTAACTTTCCTTCGTGTGGTTTCTACAAACAAGTTGTATCTAATAAAAACGATTATCCACCCTAAAAGCAATAAGCGCGCATGTATGAACGAAATCAAGTTGATGGCACGCGCGTCTAGTGAATGAATGCGTGTATGTGTCTGTGTATGTGTCTGTGCTACTGACGCATATTCGTTCAATCCTTCTTCATTCTCTCTCAACAGTTTTCCAAGTCGAACGCTCGCAATATTAACAGACCGAGACAACCGCTAATCCTCAACCACATTATTTTCACCGTTGCAAACATGATATCTCTCTTTCTCTCTTTTCCTCATGTTTAGAATATCTAAAATCTTGAAAAAAAATCTGTTAAAACGACAGAAAATTAAATAATTTCTAATATCAATGTAATAATGATAGTAATAATAGTACTTTTGATATACATATATATGATGTTTGTATGAGCCATACTTTTTTCCGCGGAAATTAAAAAAAAAAAGAAAAAGAAACAACTAACCTGGATCTCTAAGATAAGCAGAAAAGAAGAAAAAAAAAGAAAAAAAAATGCAAGACTTACCACAAACCACGTCGGTTTAAATAACAGTAGTTAACAAAAATAAACTATTTCGTTCTTTTTTTTCTATGAATCAAACCAGATTATGTATATAGTATCAGATATATATTAATTCATAAAGAATAATCGACTTTTTACTATTCTCGAAATGATCTAAGAATCCAATCGATAATAGACCGTATATTTATAAATATATACATACGATTTATATCTGTACTTAATACTGGGTTGGATTTGATTTTATCAAAATCGAAAGAAAGAAAGTAGAGAAAGAAAAAGATAAAAGTATTTGAGTTCACGTTTTTATGTGTCAGGGCGAAGAGAGGACCTGGACAATTGAGATAAAGAGTTACGTTTAGGTCAATCGATAATGAGCTTAAGGTGGATTCACGAGAATTTGGAAGCTCCGACCTGCGACGAGGAGTGTAGTGATATTGACGACAGTTGCAGCGACGACAGTTACGACACCGATCTGTCACTTTGCAAGAAGGACGCTGCAACAATTGAGGACGAGAAGAAGGGCTTGAACAGCGATTCTCGTAAACAGAAACGAGAAACGAGGAAACATCAGAACACTATAGTTACCTTCGATGAAAACAGGTATTGTATGTACATACATACATACATACATACATACTTACTTATATACATACATACATATATATACACATAATAGATAGATGTAGGTATTGTATATACCAGGCTATATAAGGGAATACAATGAGCGCATTGATAAGAAGACCATACATGACATCATTTGATAGTTTACGACTTTATCAACATTTACCAAGAACAATAAAATTTCTTTATTTATTTATTTTTCTTTCTTTTTGGCTTCTATCGTAGATCAGAATAATAGAAGACAACGAATAATTTCTTTCGTGTATATCTATTTTTGTTCTCATCATTATTTCTTTAATCCTTTATAATCCAATTTTTCTAAAAGTTTCGTGTCTACATATAATAAAGTTGTACTACTATTAATTATACTAATATAATTATACTATACTAATATAACTTTTATTTAAAAAATATTCAGATATATAAAAACTATATATATATATATATATATATATATATATATATATATTATATATATATATATAATTTTTTATAATAAAATAAAGAAGAATTTTGAAAATATGGTTATAGACGTATGTATAAATATATTATTTCAAACGTACATAACTTTATAGAGATTTAAAACTGTTTATGAGAGATCTATCGAGACAATTATTTAAATTAATTATTCAACTTTTTATTTTATAAGTTATTTTTTTTCAAGAAAAATAAAGCATTATTATTCGTTAGTATAAATACTTCCCGTTCTCCATTAACTCGATAATATAAAGATCGATAAAAATTTTCGTCAAATCAACGACGTAGTTTCTTCCCCGATATACGCGTTAGTACACTCACGTGCATTCATTGATCATTTGACTCAATTAACTTTCTGCTCTAATATCGTAGTGTGAGGGTCACTAGGTCTAATAGGTATGGCTCTCGTAATACGAAACACGGAGGTTGTAATTCACTACAAGGCAGCCTTGTAACACTGTAAACGTAACAGTTATAAAAAGACATTTAAAAACGTCTATTAAAATTCAACTTTACGAAAGTTCTTTTGAAAAGAGATCGAACACATAATGTAGTAATAATTATTAATCGTCATATTTAATTTCTATTAATCAAAGATAGATGAATTTAATGGAAATTACAAGATTGTAAATTCTGTAAAAATTCTTTATTTAATTCGTATAAAATATATAAGAATCATACTTTATTCGTTTAATGACACCCTTGAAAAATGTTTTTAAACTTAACAAAGTGCGAAAACTCACATACCGTGATAAAGCACGCTTCATTCACAAGGCTCTTTGACCTGGAAAACCGATCGTTCTATTTTTCTAACATATAATATCTAAGCAACATCTCTCAAGCGTGAACTCTTTCTCTTTCTTTCTCTATCTATCTCTCCCTCATAAACGTTAACACGCGCGCGCCTGTTAAGGGTGGTTCAGATCTCCAGTGACCCTTTCAAACATTAACCGCGCTCGATATTACAATCATGATAATCTCAACAAGGGACGTGCATTAACATCGAAGGCCTCCCTTCATCAATATAAAATTCTTCATTGCAACAGGACTATAATTAATCGTTATTTATCGTAAGACCGCATAAATAGGTAACGTTCCCTTTAAATTGAACGTTAGAGGCTACATTAAATTAAAGGGACGCTTCGATTAAAGTTAATTATATAAGGTATCTAGAAATTCTTATTTATGTCCAAATAAACTGTGTTACAATTTGCTTTTATCAAAATTATTACGAATACCGCATGAATTTCATTGTATCTAAATATTAAACGTTAATTATAGTTTATTTTTTTAATAATCTTTTCTTATGCATCATTCAAATAAAACTAAATTCATATTAATATTTCTAATGATTTAGGTGAAAACAAATTGTAATAATTTATTTCATATTTTGATATGAATGAAATGATTTCTTTAAGTATAATAAACAAAAAATATAAAATTAAATTTGTCTATTTTAATTTCAAGGACATCCTTGTTATCGTGTTAATTAACGAATATAGAAATTATTATGCAATAAATTTAACTTTTACAGTCAACAATCACGATACGAGACATCCAAGATTATGTACACCCTTTCACCCTACGTAATATGGGATCCACGGCAACCAGCGGAAAACCCAATTTATAATTCTCTCGTCATAAAACTTTACTGTCGTACTGGTTATCACCTCGCAATCACATCAACTGGCAAAGTTCGAGGCTTACCCGGAACGAACGAGACAGATGGTAATTTCGAAGGAAAACTAGACAGTCTATGTATACAAGGTGTTCCGTAAAACTGATGTCACAAATTTATAAATATATTTTATGTCTCAAAACAAACAAACGAAAATCTTAATATAACTTTATTTCCGTTAGAAAATCAAATAAATAAATGATTTATAGTGAATTATTTTGTACAAATCGTTTCCTGTTGAACACATCTGTAAATCATTTGATGACATCATTTTATATACACCCTATATACCCAACATATATATATATACATATATATATACATACAAAATATATACATATATATATACATATAAATATACATATATATATATAAACATACATATATATATACATATATATATACATATAAATATACATATATATATATACATACAAAATATATACATATATATATATATAAACATACATATATATATACATATATATATACATATAAATATACATATATATATAAACATACATATATATATATATATATATATATATACATATAAATATACATATATATATATATAAACATACATATATATACATATATATATACATACATATATATACATATATATATACATACATATATATATACATATATATATACATACATATATATATACATACATATATATATACATAAATATATACATATATATATATACATAAATATATACATATATATATACATATATATATACATATATATATATTATGTTTTATATATATGTAACACATAAAATAAAATAGGCCAACTATAAAAAGTCGCTCACCGTTATCTCCCTGCAAACATGCCATTTTATTTTTTGATCATTTTTAGCTCTTCTACACGTAACACCGGTCTCCTTTGGAGTTGTACGAATACAGGGTGTCGAGACACAACTATACCTTGCATTCAATAAAAAGGGCTATTTATATGGAGAGGTAAGATAAGAATTTGTACAATAGTAAAACTACTCTTGAACATCGATCCAGCGTGTATTAACTCTTCTGTTAATTTTTAAATATGATACAATTCAATAATTCGAATAATCTTTCTGTTTTCATAGCTTCCTAAAAATTACTATATGAATATGAATTGATTAATATTAATCTAATTATTGAATTACAGTCTAATTATTAATTATGTTAATAATTAATTAGATTAAATTTAAACTAACGTAATAAGACATGAAATTCGTTGACAATTTAATCACGTTTTCGTTCTAGAGTAACATTATTAGAATATTATTTTCATCATCATTCCATTTTCCAAATTGCAGTCCAATATGAACAAGGACAATACTGAATGGGAACAATGGTCTGTTGGATCTTACGATGCGTTTCGATCACGCAAATACGTAAATTTTGGTTGGTGGATCGGTATAAAGAAAAACGGACGTACAAAATCTGGTCCGAGAACGGTGTGGGGACAAAAAGCTATACAATTCTTAGCAATAAGACAAGATCAGCAAGATTAACCGCATGAGACGATATTTCTTCTTTGTTTTTTTCTTTTAATTAACTTCTACGCTTCGAATTAGATACGCAAAGGAATTTTAGGAAATCGAAAAAAAAAAATAAAAGAAGAAGAATAAGAATAAAAAAGATACGCTTCGCGTAATCCAATAGAATATAATGTTTATTATAACACTGTGTTACTCAACAATGGAATAGTTTGAGATTGTGCATTTTGCTTGTGCCCTCGAACTGAAACTTTCTCGCAAGTCGCAGTTGTAATTCGCGGTACGCTCGATTATTAACATTCATAATTGTTACGCTGCAAACATGGTGCAACAGGTCAAAGATATTCATGAAAATACGATCGAGATATTCTACATACTCTACTCGTAGCAGAGAATCTAAACATTGATTTCTTACTTATGCGATAATTTCGATCGTAGTATGTGTATGTATGTACGTACAATATGTAATTACTTGTTGTGTGTATAATGTGTACACATGAGCACACATCTGTGTATATGTATATTATATAATATTTTATATAATTGGTTTTATCTTCTTTGTACATCTACATACATTGCATACATATATTATTAGAACTCTTAAGCAAAAGCTTAAAGTATAAAAGGACGTTGTCTTAATAAAATCTTGTTATTATTAATACAAACAAATAAGATTTGAAAAACCTAATTGACATGGTGTGGCCAGATAGAACCTCTTAAGATAACATTCGTTAACAATAATAAAAATAAGGCTTACATTATTCGATTATCTTATAAATTATAGAAAAAAAATTTAATAAGATTCTTTGGTAATCGATGATCAATGTAAATGCATTAATTCCTAACCATAAGCCTCTGCCATCACTTAAAAGCAACAAAAACAGTGAGTATTATACATGTTAAAATATATCCCTTGAAAGTTAAAGGGGGAATAGTGCTTAATGCATAAATTTTTAAAATGAAAAAAGAAAATATTAGCTTTTCAAGCAAACCTTTGTCCTTATGAAAAGTATATATTAGCTTCAGGTAAAGTTAATGTCTTTTTAATACATGTCACATATTATTGATTTTAAAATTTATTATTATACTATATGGTTCTTGTTTTCAAATAAGGCAGCTGCAAATATATGTATACATACTTTTCATAAGGAATGAAAAATCACAACAATCGTAAAATCCCTGTATGTTTACAATCTTTTCATGTCAATTACAGGAATTCATTTCTTTTTAGTATTTGGACTAGTCGATTGGAATACACTTGAAGCGGACATTAGATTCTCTATATATTGACTCAATACTTGATTTTCACTTCGTAATTTCAAATTTTCTTCCTTGACACTGTCCACCCTCTGAGACAGATCTAATACAAGTCAATATATACATATATATATATATATATATATATATATATATATATATATATATATACATAAGATTTTTAAAAATCTTAGAAAAATTTATTCATTTGCCAAAATAGCTAGAACTTACCATCTAATGTATTTTGAAGTTCCAAAACTTGTGCTATTAACCGTGCTTTTTCTTCTTGTTCGTCTGGACTAATATCAGGATCTAAACCTGTCGATCATGCAAATGATTTTCAAATTAATTAACCGATAAAAATTTATTTATTTATTATTATTCTCCTAATATATTATAATTTTTATAAAAGACTTACTATTGGGGCTACAGCTACCATTAGTAAAAGTGGATGGAATAGAATCCATACTACGTCCTCTACCTAATGCATCAGATAAATGAGAAGCATTATCCAACACCTCTTCTTCGGGAATAATTACTGTATTAAATGACAAAAGAAAGATATTATTACGAATGCAAGATAAAAAAATATTTAACAAATATATATATTTTAAAATAATATATGCTTTTTGAACATTTCTTCAAATTACTTATTTACGATTCATAAAACGTTAAATGATCATGCAATGTCAAAACAAATACGGAAATAACATTTTCGTACCTTGAGGATCATCATCTGCCAAAGGTATACTATTCATGTCATCTTGAAGTTTAGCTGTCACAGATGCAGACATCTTGACGCCAGTTATCGCTGCAAGAAGAATCGTAAACGATAGCAAACCTGCGCGTAAAGGTTGATAATTTGACACCGAGTTTATCGATTAAACCAATCGCTTTCGATAATCGTAATATCTCTCAAAGAATCAATGAATTTTAAAAATACAAATTTTAATTTTCTTAGCTTCTTCTATTATTCAATTATAAATTCAAATTCCAGATTTTCAGGATCACCTAATAGATAGAAAGATAGTCACAACACACAATGAAAAACGTAGCCATATGTTTTTCTGTCGACATCTATAGTCAATGCAATCATAAATTGCATCGTACGTAGAAAGGACAACTTTTTCTTTAATATGAATTTTATAATCCGTCTTTGAAAATTTAGAAAACTAAAATTTCGAAAAATTTTTTTCCAATATTATAACAATCCAATTTGCAACTTATTAAAATCTCTTAGTTTATTTAAATTGGACAAACCAATGAAATGACTAAAATAAATAAAATAAAGTTAATATTTTTCAGAATTTTTTAAATTTAATCACAATTTTACATTATTTATTTTAATAATTCATGAAATTAATCTATAACATTCAATAATATTCAATATAGAAAAAAAATTATCATCGTAAAGCAGGTTTTTATGTACATACATGTACATTAGATTAATATCGACTTCATGCTCAATCGAATACGTATCATTTTTTCTATGGTCAGTGAAATCAGTGAAAAATGTAAATAATTGCTATCACTTGAGATAGTCTTACTGTAAATGTTATTAGAAATTGTGCTTTTTAATATTTCCTACTTTGTTTTTTATAATGTTAGTCGTATCTAATATGGCAAATCCATTACAAAAGCTTTCGTCTTTCTTAGGATATTGGTATTTTAGATACATGCTTGTTACAGAATTATATATGGTCGAAAAATGGGAGAGAATTTTTATTAGTATCCTTTACAAAAATAGTATTATAATGTTGTCATCTATTTAAGATTCAGTGGTGGAAATAATTCATATTATTCCTATATAAATTATAGATACTTTCTTTATAGTGTTATTTTTATCATTCTTTATTTTCAACTACAAGGTATTACTTCCAATTGCAGAAGTAGTGAGTTCCACATCACTATGAAATCTATGTCAAATATGTAATTATAACTTTATTGTCTTTCATTAATATTATTCTGTTTGCAGAAATAATATATATATATATTTATATACATATTTATATTATATATATATATATATTTTGTTATTAAATTTTTTCAGATATTTATTATAGCCAGAACAATAAAATATATCATTTAATTTTAATCAAATAACTTGATGATTTCTCAAAGAATTAACATTATACATATCCAGAATTATATTGTAATTTCCAAATTTCTCAAAAAGATAATGTTATCAGATTCATTAATATAATGTTTACTCTGTTCTTTATAAAAAAAAACTTTATCTCTGAGTTATATATGTATATATGAATATTAAAGTCATAAAACAAACTGAAAGGAAAAAATAAATTTACTAACTTAGAGTTTTTTTCCCATGATATAAATTGTAGCAAATATATATATATTATATATTCTATATATAATATAAAAAACACAAAAAAATATATAAGGTATTAAATACATAAGCAATATCTGTACACTTAATAAATATTAAATTTTATTTTTAATAAGAAATTAGTTATATATGAATAACCATCAACCAATGTATTTAACAATTTTAAAGCATAATAATACATGGTTTCATAACCTTATCAATTTGAGAACAAAACAATGTATTTAATTTACATTATCTTTTAAAAATTAAGTAACAAATTTCAAATACTGATTGCATTTCAAAGATAAACACAATTTTGATCAATATTGAAATTGTTACGTATTCAATAAGTATGAATACTAACACACAGATTCCATGTGCTGATATTTCACATTGTAAGTAGGCACATTAGGAATAAGAATATTTTGATCATTATTGAAAAGTTTTACAAATGCACGTAAAGATGGAATTATACACTATCAGATCCATCATACAATAAATGAAATTTTTTTAATAATTTGGACACATAATTATACAAGTAACTAATACAAATGATTAATCTCACAAATTTTATCAACTCTTGATATAAACAAGGTATATGCATGTGAATTAATCTTTAATCTTGTAAAATATCATATTAAATTACATATTTTTGAATAAATCTTTTTAAATTTTCATAATTAAATTTATAAAAAGAACTTTGATTCTGATAATCAACTACGCATGTTGTGACATATTTACATATTAAACTATCAAGTTTCACAATTGAACGCATACATTTGCCACTTGAACATAAGTGCTGCTGGTACAGCCCCCTAAAAATTGTTATTATTTGAACCAAGTCTACTATTATTTTTTTGCTGAATACATTGCTAAATATGTGCGTTTTATTTGCTAATATTGCAGAGACATTAGAGAATTTGAAATAAATTATCAGCTTTGATATTATGATGTGCATATACCACAAAAGGGTGTGGCAGTACTGTAGATGCAAGGAAATTAATAAAGCAAACGATAGTATTTCTACATTATATATAAAGGCTCATATTAAAGGTAAATATGATATGGATCTCGCATCTGTCTGTAAATCATTTTCTGTATCTAATCTCCTAACACGCACTCTTTGTTTATAATGGTACTCTTTGAGATAACTTTTAAGCGTCTTTGGCAACTGCAGCTTATTTATACCATCATATGTCGTTCTTGTAGTTATAACTGCTCTGCACAAATGTTGTAGAGGAAAGGCGAAATTACGATGCAATGGTATAGTGAGCATAGGTTCGAAGAACATACAACATGATGGGTCCTTGTAATGTTCTATTAAACCACATACCTGTGAATATATTATATACCATTTAATAATTTTATAGAAATTGTTTATATCAAAAATTATGAGAAAATTTTTAATTTTAAAACATACCGTTTCAGAGGCATAAACGCCTGGATCGTGTGAATCGAAACTAAATTTGTGATTCCATTGCTCAATTCGTGCATGAAGAGATCGTCCATATTTTCGAAAGCTTACGGAAAATAAGAATTCTTCTTGTGCAGAATCTCGTAATAAGAAAGTTCCTTCTTGTTTACCTTCCAATAAACGTTCTGCTTCATAGCGGTCCATCTTACCCCAATAGAAAGAGCATGCCGTTATTGACCGTAAATCTGGTACAAGACAATGTACATAATCGACCTATGAGCAACAAAGAAGTTACTGTTAAAATAAATATATAGTTGTTTTATCCGGCGAGAAATAATTATTTACCTGCGTATGCGCAGGTCTTTCAATATTTGGAATTAATGTAAAATCTATCTGGGATAGCGCAGTAAGGGCAGCAACTTGAATACCAGCATGTGCTTGAAACAATGCAGCCAAACTATCTACTGTTATACCATTTGGATGCACCTGTATTCCAGATGGATAATTAGGTCTGTATCCAGGAGGAGGTTCAACACCTTCCTCCATTTCTCGTGCTCGTTGTAAACGTGCCCTTTCGTCGCAATCCTTCACATGAAAATTATATATAATATTTTCTTTTGTACTAATTTTCAATTAGTAAATAAGTCATTACAGTAACATACCTCCATAGGAAATTCCTCTGGATTAAATCTTGACAAATCGATCACAGGACTTGGCGGTAGAGGACCAAGAATTGGACTCTGTGGTGCAGATCTACTATTAAATACAATTCCTGCACCCATTGGGTGTTCGTCGGTTCTTCTATAACCAGTACATACACAATCTGAACTACTGTTGCCTTGACCAGGAATAATATCAGTATTTTTGGATGTTTTACTCTTAGCAAACTTCAATACCCAATTACTTCTTTTCTTTTTTGAAGATAAAATATGATTACATACTGGACTTTGATCTTTATTCCGTTGTTTACCTAAAATGATAAGTAGCAAATATATACATATATATACCAAAAATAACTGGAATTCTTTGATACAAATCTAAATTATGTAAAACAAGCAAATTTTATAACTTACTTTTTCTTTTTCCAAATGACAATGTTTTTGAAGATCTTCTTAATGGAGGAGTTCTTGGACTATCCTCGGAACTACTACTACTGTTGCTACCACCAGAACTGCTGGAACAAGCCTCTTGTTGTCTGAATGGTGTTTCAGGATTATTAATATTGCCATTACCACGAATTTGTTTTGAATCCTGAGTTTCCACTGGTTGACTATATAAAGATTCGAATCTAGAATTATGATTATCTAGATCCAAATTCAAATTGTGATTTCCCAAATTCCCTTCTGATTTACTCTCTCTGTTTGGAATCACATTAAAATTCAAGACAGGTACATTCCCATTATTCTCATAATTGGGTAAATTTTCTGCATCATCTTGGTCAACCATTTCCAATGTTGATTGTTGTTGCAATACATTAGAATATATTTCTGTAGATTGTTTTTCACCATCCATCTTAAAAAATTCTCTGAGACTAGCAAAATGCTGTCCCATCGTTAACTCTATAGACAGGCATTTTATGGCCTCAAAGATATTTCTAGTGTAACGTTCTGTATCAACAGTGTCAATATGTTTATATCATAGTACAATGATCGTACATTGTAAATTTTTTATTTATATTGTAAGGCATTAATTTTATCTTTAATTCTGTCATATATCAATTTATCTGTAATGTAATAAATTAAAAATTACATTTAAATTTGTATTAAATAAAATTAAAAAATAATCCATTCTATGTCATAGATATTTAAACGCGTTCCCATGTCTATCAATGAAGTAAGAATTTTTTTTCGTAGAATGTTACAATAAATGAATAAGTATGATTATTTTTTAAAGTAATCTAATTAAAAGAGTAATATAATTATAATATTCAAAAAATGCATCAAAGTATATTTACCTTGATTAATTCATTGTCTACAGATAATATTATAAAAATTATGTTAAGGCATTTGTAATGAAATTTCGCGATGGCAGCTAGTAGAATCACGTTTAGACAGGTTCAGACAAGTTTTGACAGGACTGTATAATTACTTTATTTCGAACACTATAACAAACACTTGAAATTCACAACACTTTATCTTCTATGATATCATTAAAATCGTGTCTTTGAATATAAAAAAATTCCATGTCGTTCATCAATATCAAAATATACGTAAAATTGTCAAAACACGATCCACTGCATCATCAGCCATTTTCCCTAACTATCTCATGTCTGTCTTTTCCATTCGTCATTGGTTTATTGTACAAAAGAAGCGTAACGTAGACGTTAAAGATCACAGAGTGATCATAAAATTCTAAATCTACTTCCGGAATCTGTGTTGCAACAACAAACAATAAATCAAATGGATTTTTTCCTATTATATATAACCATTCTAATTTATATTTCACTTTCATAATATTTATAAATGATATAACGCGTATGTGTATGATATGAAAATGTTGTCACAAATGACGACATACGTATAAACAAAGGGGCGAATGGAGTCGAAGTAAGGATAGTTCTTCCATCGACCAATGAAATTTCTTTGATGGTGTACGATTTTATGCATTATTGTTGGATTTAAGAAATAAAAAATAAATAAAGATCTTTTCGTTATTAATAAACGATTTAGATATCAGCTGTGTTATTCATACTGTTTAAAATACACATATATATATATATGTGAAATCAACTGCGTAATTTTACATAGCCATATTAAAAATAAAAATTATATAATGGTCCTTATTTAATGAATAACGTGTATAAAAAATCGATAAAATTTTGATAAGTATATATATATCTTTTTTATACTTAAAAAGAATATATATGTTAAATAAAAGCTAAAGTTTTTCTGTGAACGAGGTAACATCATAGATGGCAGTCTTTGTTAGTACTTCGCTTGACACGTGTACCCCTTCTTGAATGGTTTAAATATTTGTGACAGTATAGCGTTGTCGACGCCCAGTTATCCGTAAGTTTTTAATATTTCTTATTCATATATTTTTTATTGTTGTTAGTATAAGGTGCTTTATTCGCAAACTTTTATAAGATTTGAAAATTAATTATTCCATGATATATCTATAGAATATAAAGCCGACAAAATTTATCGGTATATTTGACATAATAACCAATATGGCGTCTCCAAAAACAATGTTCCATTAATGAGCTTATGCACAAAGTTCTTAACAAAAGTGGATAAAAATGTTAACGTACTGTTTATTTTTCATTTCTTCTACCAAAACGGTGGTATATTGAAAACATAATACGTATTTGCAGTTGGATTTGCAAGGGGACTATCTCTCGATATCTGGTTCTTAAGCATATTCCTATTCCAGTAACTATTGCAATAGTGTTCGTCAAGTTCGAAACTTTTCAGTTACAATTGTAATGTCTAATGGATATAAAGTATGTTAACGATTCGTTAGAAAAGTGGAGTGTCGTCTACAGATAATGAAAAGTTTAAAATTTTAAACGTGTGTTAACAGGAGCATTGCAATGTTTTATAGCTATCAAATGTGTAGTCTGTAAAAAGTTAAGTTATTGACAGAAAGTGTACGCTACTGCACATAAAAGTAGTAAGTCTTAAAAAACGTTAATACAATTTTATCATAATGAATTGATTACAAAAATTTATTTTATCTTTTGATTAGGTCAAATAAAGAACCGTGCGAAAGATGCAGACAATAAAATGCGTTGTGGTAGGAGATGGGGCTGTTGGTAAAACTTGCTTATTGATTTCCTACACCACGAATAAATTTCCATCGGAATATGTGCCTACGGTGTTCGATAATTATGCCGTTACAGTAATGATTGGTGGAGAGCCATATACATTAGGATTATTTGATACTGCTGGTAACTATAAGTAATACATATTATATTGCGTGCACACTGAAATGGTAAAACATTTCCTTCCTACTTTATCATATTTTTCTATCTCTTTTAATTAATTTAGTGACATACATTTAGATATATTAATTATATCATTACTTATGTTTAAGGTCAGGAGGATTATGATCGGCTACGACCGCTTAGTTATCCACAAACGGATGTATTCCTAGTATGTTTTTCTGTTGTATCCCCGTCATCTTTTGAAAACGTTAAGGAAAAGGTATGTTTGTTATACTTATTATATACTTCTTATAGTTTATATATCATATAAAGTATAATATTACAAATGTCATGAAATATAGTGTTCTTTTTATTTGTAATAAATAATTATGCTTTTAGTGGGTACCAGAAATAACTCATCATTGTCAGAAAACACCTTTTTTACTTGTTGGTACACAAATCGATTTAAGAGATGATGCAGCAACTATTGAAAAATTAGCAAAAAATAAGCAAAAACCTATCACAGGAGAGCAAGGAGAAAAACTTGCAAAAGAACTGAAAGCAGTGAAATATGTAGAATGTAGTGCTCTTACGCAGGTATGTCAATGACGAATTAATTTTTCTTATATCAGTAAACGAAACAATACGAATATAAAAAAAAAATTGGAAAAATTATTTATAACTAAAACAATATATTTTTATCTTTTAGAAAGGTCTAAAAAATGTTTTTGACGAAGCGATCTTAGCAGCTTTAGAGCCACCGGAACCAGTTAGGAGAAGACGATGCGTTGTCTTGTAGGACGTGATTGCCTCCTTATCGAACGATTGGCTCAATATTGTCGAAGATTGTGAGTTTTATCGTACGGTGCATGCAGATTATTTTATCGAAGCAATAACCACACACTGAATAAGACAAAACAAGGCTTAACGTGTTGAATATCAAAGAACGAATATGCCTGCGTTCATATAAGGCGTCGTTTCTCTAACGATATTAAAAGAACTTGGAAAGTCAAGTGAAATTTTGTATTGAAAATCGATACGGCAATTACAAACTATTTGCATGTTTGCATTTCTCCTTAATTAGGGGTATTATACTTTTGTAACTGTATAAAATGTCGATCGCAACACGCAGATGTGGATAACCATAATTTTGTACATAAATTACATAAACTTATTTATCTTATACAATGGTGCGTAAATGTGTCTTATTTGTAGGTAGAGTTGTCATTTATATTGATACCTATTAGATTATATCAAGGAGAATACATATATTTTTAAACATTTATAAGTGTATTAACATGCGAGGTATAAGTTAATACATGAAATTTTTCTTCAAGGTGACTTGCGATTTTGACGTTGACTTTTTTTACGATCGCATAAACGAAACAATTCCACTATCCAGGATCGAAGAAAGCTCGTAATAGAGAATATACCATGAAAGCTGCAAAACTTGTAGGATATTTAAAATGTAAGATGTTTTTGACAACACAATAATAGCGTTTTTAATAAATCATTTATAAAAATTATGTAAAAACATCTTGTTTAACGATTACGAATAATGGAGATTGTATATTCTAAATATCAAATACTAGCTATCGGATTGATGAAATTATTTTATTCAATAGAAAATTGCAGGAAACAATTCAATATGGTATAACATCGATATTTATATCCAAATCCAATGTTCGTAAAATAGAAAATCGATAATAACTGGACGCTAAAGCTTATAAATAATATAGGATATATATATATATATATATATATATACACGAATTTCATATTTTTAGAATTTATAGATAATATTTTTCCGTTGCCACTTAACTTTTTAATATCATGAACCAATAGATCATTTTATATACATAGATATGTTGATCCTTATATATCGGTTTCTCAAAAAAATTCCATAGAGATATAAAAGGTATCAATTATATACTAACGAACAGATTTATTGTAATATTTTTTAATTCTTTTCTTCCAATAATATAAATATCGAATCGAAAAAGATCGTTACTTTTTTAGCTATATATATATATATATTTATCGCTAAAAGAAATGAATGTGGCGAGTGAAATTCGAATAAAATAATAGTACTAAAATGTACGATTATACTTTTCTTAAGCCCTTAAAAAAAAAGGTACATATACGTAGAAGCACTTGCATCAGAAAAAAATCGTTTCAAAAATATTCAGGATAAAAAAGGTAAGAAGGTATATACGTAAGTAATAAATACAAATATCTTCTTTAGAATAATTTTTACTGATCGTAATTAGAGATAACCAGAATACAATACGGGTAAATAGTATTTCTTTTTTTCCCCTCTTTTTTTAACAAGACATTATACTCTTTAGATGCTCGTCCGCCGTAACGTGTACGTACATGCGATTTGAAATTCGTTACGTCTCTTGCATACGGCGCCATATTTATTTCGTACATAATGGCGTCTGGCTCGTCACGATCTACGGCGGACACGATCAAAGACATTTGCACGCACGCATTGAAACAGGCACACTTACTATTAACGGATTCACTGTGATCATCATCTATATAACGTTGCGCATATCGAGCAACGCATTCATATCGTATTTTAATAGGCCAGAGTAATTATTATTGCAGTCTTCAATGTTTCAGAGAGCCATTCTACTTTCGTTTTCATATTTCGCGGTCGTTTTATATATGATGCGTCTTAACTCTCTCTCTCTCTCCCCCCATCTCATAGTGTTCGTGTCAATTCCGTCACTTTCTTTTTTCTTCTCTTTCTCTCTCTCTCTCTCTCTCTCTCTCTATCTATCTATCTTTTTCTCTCTTTCTCTGTCTCATAAAATACTTCAACGCATCGTTATTGGGGCAAATTGGGTATCCAAAGTCTCGTCTTCTTCCGGGCAATTCTAAAGAGCACATATCGTTCTGTCAAGACCAAATTCCATTTAGAAATTCATATATCATGTTTCTTGACGTTTTTCTATGTATTATCATTATTATTATTATTATTATTATTATTATTATTATTAATAATATTACTATTATCATCAATTTATAGATCGCAAATACGAGTCGATCATGTGTATTTTTCCTCTGCATATGTGTTGCGTGGTGCATGCCTATGTATATTTGAATGTGTTTAGGTATTATGTGTGATAAACAAAAAAAAAAAAAGGAAAAAGAATTCAAAAGGACGTATTTGGGTTCCCCGGGCATATAGTTATTATTTCGATTCTTCTAAGCCGAGATAGAATCGGGCCACGAAAAGATCTCTTTTAAAAGATTCAACGGTAGCTCTTACGAATTTTTCTCTTCGTTGGTTCTGTCTCTTGAGAGTGAACGAGTGAGTGTCTATTTCATTTGGCATGCTTCTTTCCTTTCTCTATACGTCGGTGTGTGATGCGTAGCCGCGCAGTGAGAAGAGTGTAGAATACAATGGATAGATTATACGGGCATGTATGAAAAACAAGCAACGTACGTACGCGACACATTTTCAGTAAGAGTACATAAACGTTACACACACATACTACACACACGTACTACACACACATACACGAATAAGTTGTTACAAACACGTTAAGGTGTGCTACACCTTAACTCAAGAGAACAAGGGTAAAAACGCAATGTCGATGCACCATAGTTTTGTAATTAGAGATATTTTTTTTTTTCTTTCATCATCAAATTTTGTCTTTCATTTTTCACTATTTAACATATCTAAGTTAGGTTCATATCAAATGATTTCTTTTTTTACATTAACGTTCAGTTTAAACAAGAATAATACCTCAATGTATAAAATAATTTATTATATAAGACGATAGTGTAAGTTTGTAGCTATTTATCGAATGGTGATTAAATTATTATTAAATGATCATTTTCTGCAAATAAAGGTATAAAATAAAATACACAGAACAATATATATATATATATATATATATATATATATATATATATATATATATTGTAAAAGTAAAATAGTAAAATACTTGTAAAAGTAAAATACTTGTAAAAGTATATATATATATATATATATATATATATATATATATACTTTTACAAGTTTGATCAAGCTTTTCATTTTCGCAAAATTGTGTATGTGTGTACGTATCTATAGAACATGATCATGCGCGGTGCATCGGCGATGGCGTTTCATCGTAATAATCATACGATCAAGCGAGTAACCGTAAAGGAATTTCTCGATACATAATGTCGATTCAAGATATACATACTCGTAATATTCTCGCAATGTGTTCTCTTGGAGCAAAGTATCGTTTGCACGCAATGTCATCATCATGCTCCTTCGGATCGATTGAAATCATCGCTAGAGATTTAATTGATTCGTCACTTCCAGCATTAGCTCTTCCCTTTTCATTAGATTAATACAATCACATCAAACTTACTTTGATTCATGAAGTCAAAACCAGGACGAATTTCCACATTATCAATTGTAGTGAAATTATGAAATATATGTTAAATTATTGTACCGTGTATATCATGTAAAAGAGATAAATTTGATGTGAAATTAGACGTGTAGCTTAATGCACGTTTTTACGATCATGAAAGTAGCTTAAGCGAATTAATAATATATTTTACCCACTTCCTTTTATATCCTTCCAATTATTTAGAAAGTCTAATCATTATATGGAATAAAAAAAAATAAAGAAAGATACGTTATATAGCCTACTTTCATGATTCACCTGCAACACATCTGTTGAATACTTTGTAGTATCTTGAAAAATGTCTATTTAATCAATGTGCCTGGATACTTTACAGGATCGTGCGTTTGACATGCCTGCATTTAACCGATCCATATTACACGCGTTCAACTTAGCATGGATGCATGCATACGTATATATTGCTACATATCGTAATGTATACTGCGAGCACAAGTCGACACGCGAGTCGTAATAAACAAACTGAATATGTGACCGCATTACTATACATCAAGAGATATCGTAATACTGTGAGTTAGTATTTAAACGTGACTTTTCTATATTTTCTTTCCTTCAATCTTTCTCTCTCAAAGATAAATGAGCCAGTGATTATGAAAATGGTCTAATTGTAAATCAGTAGCTTACATTCATAATAAGTGATAAATTCAATCTTTTCCCACATTTTTCATTTAGATGTAGTTTTCATAATTATTGACATATATCATGCGAGTAATCATAATCGTAGAAGAGTGCCCTTTAATATTGAACAACTTTAATCCGAGTAAAATCGATTTTTTCTTTTGCATCCTTCTCTCCTTTTATAAAATAATTTTCTCTGGCTCATACTACCCATGTTGAATGCACTTGTACATAAAATCTATATACGTAAATATTACATACGTGTACGTATATGTGTATATATATATCTATGTATGTATATATATACGTATGTATATAAATGAAATAATTGTAGAAGATAAGCCAATACGATTCGTTAATTACTCTTCTTATTATAGTCGAAGTATGAAGGTTCGTAAACGAACGCTCGTATGTACAAACACGCACACACACACAAAGTATTTGATAGGGACGAGAAGCATTGATCTTTATTAATTCGCCGTGAGTGCCAATGTCGACTAACGAAGCGTGTTTGACGAATAAGAGAGCCAAATCACAGCTTTCCCCTATTTTTCTCATTTTGAAAGAAGTAGATACATATATATACACATACAAATGTGTTCATATACATATGTACATTGACCATATATATATATATGTATATATATACGTGTATGTATTAAAAATGACAAACATTAACTAGTCTATTAATATGTAGGCGTATGTGTGTGTGTGTGTATGTATGTATGTACCTGCGTAAGATATATATATATATATATATATATAGCTGTTGTTCGTTTTTCTAATTTATAAAACTCTTCTAGCATGTCATTTTAATTATCATTATTGGTAATTATCAATTTATTATATTAGTGATTTAATGGGAACAAAAAGTGAACTTTTCCACTTTTCTGATACGTATACATACATACATACATACGTACATATATACATACGTATAAACACATACATAAATACATAAATACATGCATACATACATACATACATACATACATACATACATACATACATACATACATACATACATACATACGTACATACACATACATACATACATACATACATGCATACGTACATACGTACATACACGCATTAACACTCGAACACATCGACACCAACAATTTTCAGCAGATCCTCGATAGGTCGGCTTATCGATTGCTCTGTCAGTTTAATTGTTCATCCTGGCATGACGTGTTTAACGAGGGATACGCTTTAGATAGATCTGATCGTACGAATTAATCGTTTAACATTCTCGATTAAAAGACTGTTTTCCAGGTGAAATAGCAAGTAACGCGTCTATCTTCTTTGAATGAAGAAGAAAAAAGGACATGTAACCTTTCTTCTTTTGCTTCTTCTTCTTGAACGATCATTTTAAAACAGTATTTTATCCTTATTTCACTAATCGGCTTCTATCATTCGCTCTGTTGTTATGGCCTGCTTGGCGAAAGAGGAAAGGGACAGGTGTAATAAAATACAGAATCGAGGGCACAGGTTTTCTAATCGAGTTAATGCGTTAATTAAATCTCTACACATTTATACACGAGATATTTTTCTCTCTTTTTTCTTTCTATCTCTCTCTCTATATATAGGTATATATATATATATATATATATATATATATATATACATATATTCTAAATATAAAATAATGTTCAACATATGTCATTTAATACAAATATATAATAATAATAGATAATGATGATAATGGTAATGACAATAATAATTAGCAAGAATAGAAGATTAAACAGAAAGGGAATTCGAGTTCTACCCTGGTAGCTTCTTTTCTTCTCTATTTTTTTTCGTATTTTTTTAATCTTTTTTTCTAATGTATATAGATCTATGTAACTACATAATAGAGCAACAACGAAAAAGCAACATCATCGTCTATCAAGAATTTTCGCAAGAATATAAAATTATTATTTTTGAATTGAACAAAAGAACGAATTAACAACATCGCCGAGAATTACATGATAAACTTGGCACGGGCAGTGTAAGCTTTCTTAAAACCAACAGACTTCTACTAACCGGCAGCAATGCGGGATACATTTATAGTCTAGTCGCGGATCTAAAATGACACGACAAGAGAATATCATTTCAACATTCTCGAGAGCATAAATCTGAGAAAGAGAAAGAGAGAAAGAGAGAGAGAGAGAGAGAGAGAGAGAGAGAAAGAAAATTAAGAGATTTTATAAAAAGATTATCACAGAGCGAGGTAAAAATGAATATACGATTTTCTATGGGTTTAAGTCAGTAACTATTGTTGTTTGAGAAAAATATCTTTTTATTATTATTTACTTATAATAGAATCATGTCATTATTAATACGTAACTTTCTTTATTCGTAATCGTTTCTTTATTAATAATTTGGAATAATCGAACTTTTACTTTATTATTTTGTAAGCAAAAATATTTCATACGATCGACAATGAAAATTGATGAAAATTCAAATTAACAAATATTTATGAATATTTAATTTGTAAGATTTTCTTTTAATATTAATAAATAATCCTTTTTAATATTTATTGAAGCACAGTGTATAATTATATTTGACACCGAGCATTTTATAGATAATTAGACTTTCTCTCTCTTTCTCTCTTTTTTCTCTCTACAGCTTTCAATAGATATTCAAGATAGGTATCCGTTTTTTAATACGCATCTATTTACAATATTGTGCTCCATTCAAGAGGAGAAACGTATCCTTCGACAAAGCATTCTAAAATAGAGCTATACACATCCTCACATACATCCACACACATACGCGTATAGATCTTTCCATCAGACCTTCGTTGGTTTCATTCAATCGATTCCCCAACGCAACAAAAGGTTATTTTCCACGCAACATCGAGTACCTTTCTTTTTCTCTATTTCTGTCTCTCTCTCTCTCCCTCTCTCTCTCTCTCTCTTTCTCTCTTTCCTCTCCTCTTTCTCTTTCTCTATTCTTCTCTATTCTTCTCTCTTTTTTCCTTTTTTACCTCGCTTTCCAAACAGATAGAAACGTTTATTTCGGGCGAGTCTAGGATATTAAATTTTTGATTAGTCGTGTTCATCGCTACGCGATGTCTCTCTTTTATATGACATACAACAATAACTGCTAGTATACTAGACAATAAATATAAAAAAGAAGTAGAATCGCGATTCGTCGACTCTCTTTTTTTGTTTTTATACACTTTGTACTCTCTTTTTTGTGCGCGTATGCCACCCATCTAGTTTTATTTCTTTATTTTTTGGTTATTTTTGGTTCATTCGCACGAAGAAAATCGATACCTTCCTTTGGGTCACGCAATTCGATTTGCATAAATTCGAGGATGCGATTTATTAAATTACTACACTAAACGGAATCTTTGGTCTTGCCTAAATAACTAAGATTTTGGTAGGCGTACATATGTACTTGCAGTTACTTTTGTCTCAGTCGCATATATATATTTTATACTGACTAGATTGGCAATGTGTGTGTATATGTGTGTATGTGTGTGTGTGTGTGTGCGTGCGTGTGCGCGCGCATGTGTATGTATGTGTTAAAATACGATTCGGCGCACGTAATGTCATTCGATCGCAAATCAATAGTCTCGTGATAATAAGGAAAGTATATGTATATATCGATTATTTCACACTTCTAACTTCTGGAATGAAACTCTCCTCAAATTACGATCGACACTGTTTAACATTTACTTAATTTATCAAAGTATCGAATTTACAAAGCTTTAATCTATGCACGCTAATATGTATCCAAACTACAACATACATACATATCTAATATTACATAACAATTACATCAAGATTAGATATGAAATGAAGAAAATAAAAAAAGAAAAAGACAAATATGACAAATAGCATTTAGAGTTTTACATTAATTTCTAATATATATCGTCCAGGATTGGAAAGTTTAATCGATTAGAAAATCTTCGCATAGAAAAGTCAACTTTTCCTAGTTTCAACAGCGATCTGGATCTTTTGTAAAAGACGTGAATATTTATTAAGGTATTCAAACTTCCTTCTCATTATTAATAATCTAAGAATATCTATAGTATTTATTACCTTCGAATCATGAGTTCCAATAAAGCAAAACTTATTTTGTAATATTCCAGTTAATGTAGCAAAAAATGGATCAGAGCTAACAAAGTGTAAAAAGTATTTAAAATATCCTTGAAAGCGATCGATAGAAATGATTTGTGGAAATATGCTTGTACTTATCATCATCATGCCATGCGATCCAAATGATCCTATTCGTGGAAGCATAGAGATACTATTATTATTAAGTAGGTATATTATGTCAGTCATAAAGAAAAGTCAATTCCGATCTCAACGTCTCGCCATAATCTTCCTTCTTTTACATTTTATACATCAGCGATTTATTGTAAAAAGCTTCACGTATATGTATGTTATGTCTATGTATGTTACGTATTTACGTATGTATAATGTATTTAAGATCTCAAAGATATAGTTATCTTACTCCGGCCCATTGTCTAGTAAATTAACATTCCGATTTCGTATCGTCAAGCATTCAAAATTTGAATATTTATCTTAAGTCCAGTAACTAACAATAAATACTGCGATATCGACTTATAAAATAACTCACGATCGATGTATTTGGTGTATACGAAAAGCAGTATATCTCACATTCTTCCA